AGGCAAGAGATGCCAACTCCATTCATTCAACCTCCTTGGGTTCAACAGTTCCATGGCCCACTATATGACCTAGGAAGGTTACAAGAACTTTATAAAAGTCAGATTTTGTTAAGATGACTATTAATTTAGCTTGTTGGAGACAAAGAGTTCTCTTAGTTATTCAACACGCTTTTCCCAATTTGACTATAGCATTGTCAATACACTGTACTGTATATGCCTCCATGCCATTAATATTAGAAGTAAGATGGTGAAATAAGATATTGGAGGGTGGTGAGAAAATTTTTTTTTATTTAATAGGCATAACAATGTACCTGTACTGTATTGTAGGTAATAGTTAGTAGGCAGCTATCAAACAGGGAGATACTACCGCCTGGAAAGATATTGGAAGAATACAAAATGTGTTTTCTAATGGTTAGGCCCTGCTGCCATATGGCATCACAAAAATTGTTACCAAGTCCCAGGTTGCTGATCTGACTTTCTGCCTCATTTACACACAATTGCAGGGTCTCAATTGTTTCTCTTACTTTGACAACACAACATATATCGTTTCTCACTCTTGATTTTTATTTTCATTTTTGTATTCTTAAAGGTTTTGTCAAGTTTTGGGACTAATAAACATAGTGACACCCAGCTGCTATAACTGCATTCATTTATCTCATTCTCTAAGATAATCAATCTATTTCTTAACATGCTCACTCTTTATAGGGTTCATTCTACATGGATCAAAGGTGCTGATGAAATTTTCTGATTGACCTTCCCCACTAACTGACGTGAATGGTATGCTTACAGTACAGTAATTATATGTAATTACATCAGTTTTATTACCAAGCCAGAATTTGTGAGGCAAAATAATCGGATGAACCGCTCTCCACCCCTGATTTGCAGGGGGTCCCTGACTTACGAACATAGTTTTACCCCCAAAAAATTATTATTCATGTGCCTTATTCAGTTATACATACATATACTGTACACCCACCTCTCGTTTTACGCGGGGGTTACGTTCTTGAAAATCACCACTTAATTAAAAAACACGTAAATTAAACAAATTTTTCCATAAGAATACATGTAAATGGTACAGGTTAGAGGAACCATCATATACCACACAGGGTACGAACAGTGCTCTCACTTAAACCAAGCACGCGGCCAACCTCCGACATACGCTCTGCTCTCTGAAGGTGGGTGAACACATTTAATTTCACATCCATTGCAATTGTTTTTCGTGCCATTTTAGCTTTAGACACCCCAGAGGAGGCAGATGGACGTTTTCCAGACATGCTCAATGGGGAAAACAGTGTTTAACACTAAAATGACACACACAATACAAATGAAAGCAGAGAAAAAATAATGCTGGTGTGAACTGAGAAAGCGATACGCGGGAAGCTTGCTGGACGTCGTCACAGTTGTTGTACAGATTACAGCTCCTCCTCGACTTACGACGGGGTTAGGGACCCAAATCCAGGTCCTAAGTCGAAATGGTCGTAAGTCGGAAATGCTTAAATAATACATAGAAAATCTAAAATGGGGCTATTTTTCTTCTCAGCACCACAAAATTTTCACTTTTAAGCTTGCCAACCATTTTAAAGTGAATTACAAACGAAAATTTTGTCTGTGTACCGACTTTGGGACTCGAAAATACGTAACTTTACCAAATTTTGGTACAACTGAGGCAGGTCGTAAGTGAGGGTGGTCGTAAGTTGAGTAGGTCGTAATTTGGGAGGAGCTGCACTTCATTATCATCATTATCTTCATCATTAGTAGTAATATTCTTTATTATTACATTATTATAATAATTATTATTATTATTAATAATATTAAAATCGTTGATGTTGATATGACTGCAACTTTATAGAAATAACATACAAGCACCTCACCAAGCATCACACGCAACACCACTGCCAGGTGACCAGGCGAATACGCGCAGCAAATTTAAACTGTCTTGAGCGAGTTATCTCAAAAATAGGTGTGCAAAATTACTATTTGGTATTAATTGAACAATCGCATTATTCCAAAACATTTAAATCAAACGCGAGTAAAATGCAAGTTACCTGTATAGGAATCTCAAATTATTTGAGTAGTAATTTATCCATTAGCCAGAACCTTCGATCCCCGTAACTCTCCAATAGCCAGAATGAATTTTTGAGCCTTCCGAGAAATTCTAAGGACACGAGAACGAATTTTCCAGAAGCTCTCAAAGATTGCATCCCCATGGAGCAAGCTGCTTGGGTAATTTAGGCTGTAGGCTCATGCGCTTAGTTCATTTACTTCACTTTCTGCTGCCATTGTACAATGTTGTTCCTCCAAGTGCTGCTGTTTTTGCATACAATTTGTGTTGTGCAATACTGTACATTACTGTACCAGGACACAATCAGCTAAGAATATACCGGTAGTGTTAAAGCGGTGTTAAGACATAAAAAGTGATTATAGTTACATATACTGTACTGTACTGTACATTTAGTAAATGTGAAAGTACTGTACAGTTCTGTACATCGCAGAGTGGAAAGTGTATGCCTACTGTAGGCTAGTGTGTAGAGGTGTATGTTTAGTATGTGTAAAATCCTTCCTTCATGGAGGGAGAGGAGAGTGACAGTTAATAACACCTGCTGTAGTAGATGATACAGGGCAAAGGCAGGTCATCCTTTATCATAATATCATCAAGACGACAGCATCTGCTAGTGAGCACAGTATATTGTATACAGTAGTATACAGTATTTTGTTTATTTATAATATATCATACGAGTACAGTGGTGTTTTCATGAATAAATACAGCTCTGTGTCTGTCCATGCGAGAGGCGTAGTTTAGATTCTAAAAAATCTTTTCCCATTACCTGTAAAAAGTCCAGGATGTGTGATAGTGACTGTACGTGTGAAATGCATAGTGTAGAATCTTGAAAAACTTTCCCCAGTACCTGAAAAAATTCCGGGGATGTGAGATTTTTTTTCTGGGAAAGAAAAAAATCATCTCCACACCTGAAAATCTCTCTTTCCCGGAACAGCTCTGCACCAATTATTCAAACTAACGGAGATATCACCATAATTGTATTTTGTATTCATATCATCGACAATTCATGGGGGTCAATAAACTGTTCAATTTTAATACCTGTCTATACAGTACTGTACATTAATTTTATAAACAATATCTGCAAGCAGAAGGCGTGTAGGGAAACTGTTTTCATCAGCTGAACGAATGTCTTTGTTTGATATTTATTTATTAAGTCTTTGAAACTTATTTAATGCAACATACTGTATTAAAAATATTTACCGATAATGCTTCTCTATGAAATGAAACATAAAGATATATTTAAAGTTCTTACACTAGAGGCATGAGGATACACTACAATACCACAGGTAAATAGACAAATGACCTGAGAAGAACAGAATTAAGTAAAAAATTCTCAAGACACTTTTTCTCACTTTAATCCCCTGTACTACAGAAAAGTAATTCCATCATTTCAAAACACTTTTTAACAAATTCTAACTCTCCTTGAGTGTGAACAACTGCTTCCTGCTGCAGTTGTTCACAGTCAAGGACTCTTATTTGAGGAATAGTACAAGGTGGTGGTTTGTTATCAGAAACTGTTTCATTGTGCATGTATTTCTCTGCTACGGGATGCAAAAACAGTCCACTGTTTACCTGTGAGCGTTTACATGCGAGCTGTGGATATCGAGTACAGTACAGTACAGTACTGTATTCATATACCAGTAACTTTTATTTATTACTGTACAGTAGATAATTAATATACAGTACATAAATTAGAATCTTCGTACAGTTTTTTTGATTACTACAGTATGTGTTTGTGTTTTTCTCTCAGATTAACCAACAAATGTAACCTAACTTGACCAGCTTGAAACCTAATCCCCCCTTGTTACATTGATTTATATGGTAAAAATTGCTGCTTTATTTGCATAATCGTTATATGTATGGACATTTAGGAATAGAACCTATAAAAATGACAAGAATCCCTGTATACAGTATTCATATCTTAATGCAAAATTATTAACATGGTTAAGAGCTAATTCTCTTGCCTTGGCACAGGTCACAGTATAAGCAGGAAGCAAACCCAGACTCTCTCCAGTCTTCAGTATCATCAAACCCATCTACAAGAAGGGTTGTCCACATCAATAAGACTGATTACCACCCTTTCTCCTACTAAATCATTTCCTAAAACGAAACTAACTCCTGCAACTAGCAACCTCAGTTTAACTCTGGCCTATTTGTCCAGTTACAACACTTGATATGAGGGACACAGAATAGCAAAAGAAATTTCCCAAAACCACCAATAAAGTTCCTTCAAACAAAACACCTGTAGAGGATGTGTGTACAGGCAGGGGTAGCATATTCTCCACTACAGTATTATATCTCTCAAAAGGATGATAGAGACTAATTCAGCATTTTCTTCAAATCCAACAAAACCTTCAGTCATGAAAGGTCGGAACTGGCATAAAATATATTTGGTTCATATTTAGCATATGTAGCATCAAAGATCAAAGGTACAAACTTACTTATCACAGTATTTGGCGTCCTCTGGCTTTCTGTTAATTTCCTACAATTGGGTTTAGTATGCCCAGGGTTATGGCAATAGTAAAATATTAATGAGGTTGTAGGTTCCTTACAATAGTTTTCAGATTTTACATTGGCTTTAACCATATTTGAGCTAGAGAACCCATTATCACTTAACACTTTTGGTGAATATTTATTGTCAGATTTTGGATATCTAGGAAACTTAGTTTGAGCAAACACAGGTGTATTATAAACTTTCTTATGGGTTCAGACAATTACCTGACAAAGTTGCAGCCCTTTTCAAAGTTTCAACTTCTCTCTTCTAAAAAGTATCTAGATTAGGCTCTTCATGCCTCTTAAATTCCTCTAATATGCACAGTTCTCTCAATTTCTTAAAATCCTCATTTACATCCAAGAAACTACACCGTCAATCAATAACCTCTTTCTCATTTGCATACTCCCTATACAATGTACTGTAACATTAACATCTTTCTCTAAATACCTGAACTTTTCCCTATGATGTTCTGGGACCAAAGGATAACTCTTCAAAATGGTACATTTGGCATTCTTATAATCATGGCAGTCTCTTGATGACGACTTCAACTTTTCTTGGGCCTTACCTTTAAATGTACTCTGTACAAGGGCCCATTGTTCGACTGGCACTTTTGTAACAATAACTTCTCAAAGTGTGAAAAGACCGAGTCTACATTATTCTTATTAAACTCGGGGAGTAGCCTAGTGAACAGTACTGGCTTACACTGACCTGTTTCACATTTAATCCTTCCCTTTGGCATTCCAAATCTAACCTTTTTAATTCTAACTTATTCTACAACTCAAATTCTCTAATTTTGGCTAATAAATAGAAATCAGCGGCTCCTTGACCCAGCAACGTTATCACTTAGAATTGGCTGGCCACCCCGAATAAAACAATTAAAGGGACACGGAAGAAAGAAGAAGAAATAGCATGACTCAGAAGGATGGTAGACACAACAACAACAACAGAGGAGCTGCCCGCGATATGTTCGCCGATAACATAAAACAAATCTGGAAAATAATTACCCAGCACGAGCTCTAAGTTCAAACACAGTTTTTAGTGTTTGACTACAATCACGATATATGAGAAGGTATTTCTAACTGTTCTGAAACTTATAGTATTAATGAATTGCAGTATCCAAAAAAAAATTATTTATCATTAAAGGGCTAACTTAAGTATAACATTTAAACACCCCAGAAACACAGTACAGTAGCACGGTATTAATCAGTAAGGGGTGCAATATATATATACAATAACGAAACAACTGACTCAAAAACTGTCTAGCTATTTGTCTTTCGTATTGACCGTAAGATGCGAGAAAGTGTATGTGAAGGGATCTTGTTCTTGAGACATTGCTGCTGAAGGTGTACCTGTATGTGTTGCTGGGACGAAAACCCGGAATATTCTTGATTAATATTACTGTTTACATTATATTATTTCTTGTGACTTTCTAGGTGGAGCGAATGATTAATTAGTTAGAACCTAACTAATACGGAATTCGGTTCACCTACATAAGTATGCACATGCATGTATGAATTTGAGTCTATGTATTCGTGTATGTATTAGCCATGCTTTAACTGTCCCACATTGTTAACAGACAACACTAATAAATAACAGTGGATCTTAACCAAACTTTCATTAAATTATCACAAGAAAAACACAATTCTCAGCCTTTAATGCAATTATTGTACAAACTGTAGTTGTGGCCCCGTGCTGGAGGGCGGCCACCTTTACTGGTACACACCCGCCGCCCAGGGAGGAACACCCGCCGCCCAGGGAGGCACACCCGCCGCTCAGGGAGGAGCACCCGCCGCCCCAGCCCAGGGAGGAACACCCGCCGCCCAGGGAGGCACACCCGCCGCTCAGGGAGGAGCACCCGCCGCCCAGGGAAGAACACCCGCCGCCCGGGGAAGAACACATGGAATGCATTCTTTCTCTCCATATGTCCGTCCGACCATGTGGTCAAGCGCCCAAAAGTCATGAACACCTATCTCGAACAAATAACAGTTTACGTTACCAAACTTAAGCGTTAGTGTGTCTGTGGGGGGGTATCAAAACGAGAACCGAGACATGTCCCTGTCATCACAACTCAGTTAGGGATCTTCTCACGTTGCTTGTTATTACTGTTTCCCGTCACCTCCGGCGGTGATATGGGAATAGTATCCATCCGTCCGTGTGGGTTTTTTTTTTTATTAATTCAGTGTCTGGTGGTAAACAAAGTATATAAAATATCAACATAGCTCACTTGGCTTCCCTGAGACTCACCTGTGGCCGACTGCTGCCTTCAGGTCCCTATAGTAGCAGAGTTCGTGGTGATATATTTAATAGCTATTCTTATGATGATAACGTGATTTCTTATGCATCACCTTAAATCAGTGTAATATTTTTGAGTAGTCACTTAAAACATAGTCATTTTCCCCTGACTGGCGATATGGACATATTATCCCTACTCCCGGAGGAGCTTTTTGTTGCGTAATTGAACAGGTAAGTTGAGAAGTATGACACATTCCCTAAAATACAGTTTGGATATTTGAAAGGTCTTGACATTGTTGTGTGATCAGCTATACGATTTAGATAGTGCCTGACCGAGGTATTGAAATAATAATAATAATAATAATAATAATAATAATAATAATAATAATAATAATGAGAGTGAGATGAGGGAGATGCTGAGTAACCCTGTATGTGTTTGGAAGGAATTAGAAACATAAAGCATTACGAAGAAAAAATAATAATAAGGGAAGAGGAGGAGGAGGAGGAGGTGAGACATTATTAACGGCGAGACTACAGGTATGGAATGCATTATCGAAAATAACAAAAACAATAATAACAACAACACATTAGCAATGACAAAATCCTGCTAACAACAACAATAACAACAAAAACAAGACAGATCTTATATCAACAACAACACCATCCTACTAACATAAGTGTCCCAATAAAAGTTTTTTTCCCGATATCAAACCAACATGAAGACACTACTGATAACACTATAACAATTTCGATAACAACACCACAACCATAATAACAACAGCGCAGCTCTTCTAAAAGCAAAACTGTTCTGCCATCACTGATATCAACAAAATTGACTTGTTTACAATAACAACACCAACACGGCAGTCATAACAACAACAACAACAACACAGTCTCACCACCAACAACATAGCCCCCATTACTGTAACATGAACAGGAGAAATCTGCTAGTGATAACAACAACAACCACCACAACAACAACAACCACAACACAACCCCCCCAACTAACAATAACAATAACCTTCGCATTCCTTACACTATCAACAACAACACAGTCCCGATAAAAGCAAAAAAAAAAAGTTCCAAAAACAAAAGCACATTTCCAATAACAAGAACATATTCCCAATAACAGAAAGAACAAAAGTCGTCCCAACAACTACAAAACACCTTGGTTATTATAGCCCTGGTAACAAGAACACAACCCCTACAACAACACCGCTAGCAAAAACAAAGTAGTCCTGCTAACAACAAAAACAACAACAATAAACAAAAAAAATTAAGAATGCAACATCACTGAAAACAAGAAGACATTCCTGCTTAAAGAAAACAGCAATACGGTGCTTCTAGCAACAATAACAAAACAACAAAACATTTTCCCATTAACAAAAACAACAACATAACTCCAGCATCACCATCCCGGACCTGCAAACAACAACAACAACAACAACAATAGTTCTACTAATAACAAAACAAAATAGCCCAGTTGACAGTAAAATCATTATATACCTAAACACCAACAACAACAACAAAGTCCAGTTTATATTCAACAACATCTACAACAACACCATCTAACCTTCCTGTAACCCAAACAACAACACAACCTTGCTAACAAAAACATAGTCCTTTAACAACAAAAACAACAAAACAACCCATTTAATAAGACCGAGAGCATGATCCCTAACAACAACTACAACAAAAACAATAACGAAGCTCTATTAACAACAATTTAGTAACATGATATGACTTCTGATAACAATAAAAGCAACATAGACATTCCTAATAAAAACATAAAAAATATAACCGTACTAACAACTTTAAAAATAAGGTCTCTCTAACATCATTTACACAACTACGCTAACAAGAATTACAACCCAGTCCTGCTAACACCGTAATCTTGCCAACAATAATACAACCCTGCTAGCTACAACATTATAATCCACCTAACAATAACACTTTCTTGCTAGTAACAAAAGCATAACTCACCTAACAGCAACACAACCCTACAAATAGTCCAATAACTTTGCTGCTAATATAGTGATCGTAACAACACAATGCTTCTAACAACATTCTAACATGTTTAACAAGGACACAATTTGGGTAACAAAAACACAAACTCTACCAACAATAATGCAACCTTACTAACAACAGCTCATCAATACGAACAAGAACATAATATTGCTAACAAGAACATAACATTACGAACAAGAACATAACATTGCTAACAAAAACATCATTACTAATATAAACAAAACATTGCTAACAAGACCATAATATTGCTAACAAAATATAACATAACTAACAAGAACAAAACATTGCTAACAAGAACAAAACATTGCTAACAAGACCATAACATTGCTAACAAGACCATAACATTGCTATATGACCATCAACATAGCATCGTTGATAACAAAGATACAACAGAGTCCCGGGTAAGTAGAAAGTGTCCCACAAATGTTTAGAAAGCACCACTAACAACAAGAGAGTCCTACTTAAGAATCCCACTCAAAACAAGAGTCCTACTCACCACAAGTCCCACTCAAAACAAGAGTCCCGCTAACAACAAAAGTCCCACTCAAAAAAAAGTCCTACTCAGCACAAGTCCCACTCAAAACAAGAGTCCCGCTAACAACAGGTGAGTCCCACTAACGAGAGTACCACTCAAAACAAAAGTCCCACTCAAAACAAGAGAGTTCCACTAACAAGAACGATCCATTATCAACAAGAGAGCTCCACTATCAACACATGAAAGTGGATCTCAGAGGCGAATGCAGCACACCGTAGACTAATTCTTCGGTACAGAATGAAGCACCGTGATCGCCACTGCACTCGACCGCCATTCACTCTCCCAACCCTAAAGTCAGGTGCCCGTTCTGTGGTTGGGTGACTAAGGGGGCCTCACTCCGTCTCCGGCCACAGGTCAGGAGGTCACTGCTGTAACCACTAGACCACTGTGAAGCTAACAAGACGAGAGTCCCAAGCGCCATTAACAAAGGGTTTCACTATGAAGGGAGCTCACTAACAAGAGAGCTCACTAACAACAAGAGAGCTCACACACAACAAGAGAGCTCACAAACAACATAATAACCTTACGAACAACCAAATAAAAACTGATTTAAAAAAAGAGAATCACATTAAGAAATGAAAGAGACACTAACAAGAGAACACCATTAAGAGCCCTATTAAAAACCGAAATCTCACTAGCAAGAGAGGTCTGCTAACTACAAGGTATGATCATTAACAAAAAAAGAGCAACAAAGAACAAGAGAAATTCATATAAAAGAGCTCCAACTAACAGCAATGCAGCTCTATTAACAACAAGAGCTCTACCAAGGACAGGAGATCATTGATAACAACAAGAGAAGTTCATTATAATAAAGCTAACAACAACAGAGACCCATTAATGAACTGCTAACAACATGAGTCACATTAGAGTCGCGATAATAATGCTAGAACCCGTTAACAATGTTCGAGACCAGCTAACTATACTAACAACCGGAAAACTAAACGTGAGCCTCTAACCAAACAAGAGCCTCGGTACACCAGAGAGAACTTAGTTATAACATAAACGACAAGAGAACCTCGTTAAGATAAATTACAAACTCCCGTTAATAAGATAAAGAGAGCCCCCACGATCTCACTAATAAGATAAACAGAGCCCCCACGATCTCACTA